GCTTAACCATCTGAGCCACCCAGGCGCCCCGAAGCACTTTCATAGACAGTTTATCAATCATCTCCAAAGCAGAGTGCACGTGTCCTAGAGGACAGGCAAAATAATCCACTGGGGTACAAAAAAATTTTATATTTTTTACCTAAAAGTTAAAAAAGGAAATGAAGCTTTACTGACGTTGAACATACGGATTCATACTAGTACCCTTCCTGGACCACAGGTCAGTCTGGGAAGGTATCTTGGGGGAACTGTGGTGGTTGTATAGGACAGAGGTGGTGCCTTTCATCAGGTGTCCAGAGCCTGGTCCTCTCCTTGAAACCCCTCCCTCAGTTAGTGGTGCTACCATACACCAGCTGCTTAAGACAGAGACCTTGCTCCCCTCTTTTTCACTCACAGACCATCAGCTAGCAAGTCCTGTCTATTCTAGTCTTTATTTAACTCAACTTTGTCCAACTCTCTCCATCACTACTGCTACTGTATTTAATTCAGGCTCCCATCATGTCTCATCTTATTACTGAAATAGAGTACTAACTGACCTTCCCGCCTGGGAGTTTGCCTCTCTCTAACCCACCGTGTGTGCCATTCCTCCTTGAACTCCACACTACAGTTGTAGAGGACTCTTTGTGGTTCTTTGGAGGAGAATATGCCTTCCTACCTCCAGACCTAGCACTTGCTGCTCCCTTTGCCTGAATACTCACCGTTCCTCCTCCATCTGGATAACTCCTATTACTCATACTCAGCTCACTGAAGTCCCCTAGAATGTCTTCTGTAAGCCTTCCAGATCTGAGCATCTGTGCTCTTCCATGGCATCTTATGCACCCCCTGGTCCTTTTATCATTTTGTAAAGTAATCCTTGCTTACTTCCATTTCCCCACTAGACTCCTGAGTGCAGAAACAGTGCCTTTCTCATTGCTCCTTCTCCAGTGTGCCAATATCTGTAGCACCGAAGGGCTTTGATAAATGCCTGTTGAACACACAGAAAGCAATCTGGAGTGTGAAGAAAACACTCAGGAGGTCTTTGACACTTACTATGTGACTGCTGGGGTAAATTAACAATGTCTACAGTACCTGCCTTACAAAATCGTTGTAAGCATCTATGGAGAACAGATAGAAAAGTACTTTGAATAAGGACTATCATAAACCTTAAAGGGAGTTAATAGGAAAAAAGCATCACACCAAGAACTACTCTGAGCACAACAACATTAGTGAAATAAAAAGAAGAAAAAATTTGGTTCTTCTCTTCAAGTAGTTTACAAAAATAGAAAGATAGATACCAGTAACTGGGAATGAATATTTGTTGACTAGATGAATAGACACAAAAGGAATATGAGTTCTATTCTATACAAGAAATTGCAGATTTCCCAAAATATATTATGCCCCTAGCATCAGAGACAACATCAGGATATTATAAATGGAAATTAAGGCTAATAATCCTAACAATAACCATATAGATATGATCAGCAATTTATGGCATTTAAATATTTGTTGAGCCCCTACCATGTAGGCAGGAGCTTTGACAGGCATGGAGGTATGTCAGAAGTGGATCTGCCATGCACAACACAATGATAACATAAAATAGAAAGTGATAAATGACAAGAGTCAGGCCAAATATATAATGAAACCTCAGGAGGAAGATATCTAATTATGGGACCTGGAGGGTATGTGGAGGAGGTGACATCTGCCTGAAGTCTTAAATAACGCCTAAGATGTGGACCTGCAGCAGTAGGAAGGAGAGGCAGACTGGGGAAATAGCTTGAGCAAAAATACAGAAATTTATATTTTTATTTCTTTAAAGATTTTATTTATTTATCTGAGAGAGACAGATAGCCAGAGGGAGCACGAGGCAGGGGAGGGGCAAGGGGAAAGAGGGAGAAGCAGACTCCCAGCCGAGCCGGGAGCCCGACTTGACTTGGGTTTCAATCCCAGGACCCTAAGATCATGGCCTGAGCTGAAGGCAGATGACTAATTGACTGAGCCACCCAGGTGTCCCCAAATACAGAAATTTTTAATAAAAATGTATGCATATAAGAAACTGTAAGTTGCTCTATTTGGATGCAGGTATAGGGACTAAGGTTGAAAAGGGAAATTGCAAATAGAAAGGTGTAACGGTGAGCTTTGAAACAAAAGGCTTTCAAACTTTATTTTCAACATCACACATTCTCGCTCTCTCTGTTCCTTTCTCTTTTTGTCTAATTCTCTTTCCCACCTCCCCACCCTCCAGGGAGGAGCATACACTTGGGGAGAGAGGAGGACAGGATCAGAGGCAGTGAGCCTGTCAGTGGCATTATAACTGCTCTGGAGAAAAGCAATGGATCCTAGTTTCAAAGACATTCACAGGCTTGAACTTCCACTATTTTACTATAGTACAAAGTAATACAAATTGTTAAAAAACTTAAAAAAAAAAAAGGTACTTACTGATTTCTTATTAGGCTGGCTGTTATCATAGCCAGTGGTAACGTCCCGTATGTGCAATATAGCAAATGTCCCACAGAATTTTGGATATTCTTTTGGAGAATCAAAATTGCGAAGCCTTTCAAATATACTTTTGATGGTACTTGGATCATAACACAAGAAATATGAAGTTTTCGAAATATGATAACCATATCTGCACAAAGATTTAAAGTGTTAAAATCAGATTTCAGATAACTCTTCAGAGAAGTATATAATAAAGATAAGCCTATTATAGTACTATGTAGAAAGTGGCAGTCTTTAGTTCAGTTTTTGAACTTTTTAGAAAGGACTGACTATTTTCAAAACCGAATTTAGAAAGCTAAAAGTAGGACCAAAAAAATGAGAAATTTGGCAACTGAAATGAGAAATTCATAATAATAGAACTTACTTTTCATAAACCTTAATCAGTTGCTGTTTCAATGTTATATTCATGGTTTCCAGGTAAGCTGCCATCTCGGCAGCAACTACGGCTGCACTCACCCCATCTTTATCCAAAACCGAAGTGCCACACAGAAAACCTAAGAATTAAAACACATTTTTATTTTTATTTTATTTTTTAAGATTTTTGTTTATTTGAGACAGAGAGAGGGCGTGCAGGAGCAGGAAGGAGGAGCAGAGGGAGAGGGAAAAGCAGGCTCCCTGCTCAGTGGGTAGGCTCCCCGCTCCACACTGAGCAGGGAGCCCGGATGGAGATGGGGCTTGATCCCAGGATGCTGGGATCATGACCTGAGCCGAAGGCAGACGCTTAACTGACTGAGCCACACGTTATTTAAAAAGGGGAAAACTTAAGCCTATAATAATTTCAATAGTTTTACATTTCTTCAGAAGAACCAATGAATTTAAGAGCCTACTAATAGATGAAACCCAGTGATACTAAAGGTACTTAGGGGACTTTTAAGAGTCTTCCCCCCCCCACCATGAAAAATGCATCTACATATTTCTGAGTTCTCTGTGGTTTTTACAACTCAAAATGCAAAACCAGAAGACAAAAATTCCTCTTCATAAACCTACTACATTTTAAAAAATGCTCTCATCAAATTTCAAAGATTTCAATATTTATTACATACCAATCGACTCCTCAAATGCAAAAAGGACTTCTTTCCCATTTTCCAGGAGGTCTTTTATCCTACTTCCAATCCATTTAAAACCTGGTAATGTTTCCTGAAATGCAGAGAAGGCCACTCTAGTTAAATGACTCCTCATAAATATATCTAGAGAAAGGCCTGTCACTAAATGCACGTAACACTCTCATAGTGATCTTCTCTTACGTTTTTTGGTCCACACAGATTTATATCATGGTGAGCACATAGCCAGAAGTGCTTGGATTCATATTGCCACGACTGATAACCTACTATTTATTGAGCACAGAAATAGGTGATTTACACCAAATATAATCCAACATTTGTAAGTGGTGATCCATATAGTCACAAAGAAACATAAATACACACATGTATTATGATCATCTACTATTTATCAAGCACCGTTAACAGGCACTTTATATCATTGTTTTTTTGTTTGTTTACAAAAACTCTGTTGCTGAAACAGAGGCTCAGAGGCTCAGTGAATTTGCCCAAGACTATGCTGTATGTATGAGATGGAGCCAGGATTCACTTACACTGCTTCTCAGAAACTGTCATTTGGGCTGTACTCTAAGTACTAATATAAGAGAACCTATGAAGGTTGTGATTTAGTCCCCCCGAGTAATCAAAGGCCATAAAGCTTTTTAATGATGTACTTTCAACATTATCACAGTGTATGCTTGAATCAAGTGTTCCTTACCACAATACCATAGACTAATTAAAACCAAGGAAGTTACTAAGCCCTTCTTTCATAATTGGATTCGAGGACTTTTCATCAGATGAGCTACTATTCACTTTAAAGACATGAACTGTTTTAGAGTCAACAGAAAGAACATGTAATAGACACTGATTCTAGAGCTCACCATTACTAACTTAGGATTCCCAATTCACCTCTCTACTTCCTCAGTGGGAAAAAATAAAAACCAAAACCTCTGCTACCCTCCCCAGAACCAACAACAAACACAAGGAAGCAAATTTATAATACTAGTCTTTACAATCATGTTCTTTTTTCTCTTTTGTGCTCTTTATACTTTTTTTTTTTTTTTGCCATAGATATTGAGGAAAATGTTAACATTACCATAATTCAGAATCTTGGGCTTGAATAAATTTTCAATTTTTTCTCTTTAGCAATTTGTTGTTGTTTTTTTTTTAAAGTAGGCTCTGCGCTGGGTGTGGAGCCCAATGCAGGGCTTGAACTCACAACCGTGAGATTGAGACCTGAGCTGAGATCAAGAGTTGGACAATTAATGGACTGAGCCACCCAGGCACCCTGCTATTTGTATTTTTTTTAAAGCTTGAGATTGAAAGTTCTATTTCATTAAATTAGGTATAATTTTCTTTTATTCAGCCAATTAGTGTTAAGACCTGTAGCTTGGCTGTGGCTCAAGAAAAATGCCCACAGGTGTGACATTTGCACTGATATTTGACAAAGATGGCGGAGGAAAAGCAATTTAATTGGCATCAGTCCCAGAAGCTATAAAAATTGTCAGCTTAACTCTCTAAGGCTCACGAAAGTTAATGATCTGTGCTGAGAGAGAGTTATTATTTGTTTTTTGGATGTAGAATCATTGGGTCTTAATTTACAATTTAGAAGACTAAGTTTCTTAAGACTGAACCTGAAGAGCTTAAACAATGGTTGATGATACCTACAATTTTTTGGAATGGAGTTTCTGTTACTGATGAGGTCACTAGGAGCCAGATTTTCTCAGTATGAAAACCAGATTTTATTGTATGGAATAATAAGCATTAATGCAATTTTTAAAGAATATCTTATCTCAGTTCCAGAAATTCACATTACTGGATGGATGGACTTGGCTCAAGGTGTCTAAACTGTCAAAAGATTAAGCAAGTGTTAACAGAATTTTAAAAAAAAAGGGGGGATTATAAATCAAATCAATACAAGTCAGTTTTGGTGGGGAGATGGCTTTAATGTATACACTTAGAAACTGATTGAGAAAAGTAGCACGCAGATTTTCTCTGTTCTTACTTCAAAATGAAATCCTTCTTTGAGTGCAATTGCCTTCAAAATTTTGGAAGAGACTGTGGTGGCTAACATATAAACGTTCTTCACATCAGCATTTCTTGATGTATTTTTCTTCCAGCAATCAAACATCCACCACCCAAACAAAGCTGCCAATTCATTCCCTGTGAAAACTTTCCAGTGACCACTGTAGAGAGAATGAAGATTCAAGTCAAGACTTTTGTAACTTCTCATTAAAATTTCTTGACCCTAAGACGTATAAATTACCATCCCTCACATAGGAAAATCCAAAAGCTATTATATGAGATTCTTGAGAAAACATTTAGGATTATTTCTAGCTCACCAGCAGTGAACTTAGGGTAGAAATGGCAACAATGTCTGTTGAAAAATTATTACACTGTAACTATTGTTCTCCTACTTAATGAGAGAAAAGTTATAATATGATGTCCTGTCTATATAAGGACATTTGTCACAACATTATAAGGGCAAAAATACATAGCAATCCAAAGGACCAAATTAGAAAACGATTATATTGATAAAGCAATCTGTTGGGCTATCATGCCTTTTTAAAAATTATATTTTAAACAATATTTAAGGACTGAAAAAAATGCTCATGGTACAATATTAAGTGGAAAACAATCAAAATATAAAAATATATGTAGCATAACAATTTTATAAAAACAAATATATCTTAAGGAAATATCAAAATATCAACCTAGGGGTTATTTTTGGATAGTGGACTTACAGGAAATTTATTTTCTTACTTTTTTATTATTTCCAATGAGCCTGTAAGACTTAAAATCAAAAACTCTTTTTCGAAGTTGAAGCTTTACTTACTTCTCCTGAAGCTCTGCCACTGCCAGCCGGTCTGCATCAGGATCTGTGGCTAGCACTACGCGGGCTTTTTCTTTCTCTGCCAGTCTCAAAGAAAGTTCCTGAAACAGTGAGCCAAATCACCAGATTGTATTCCAGAGGTTAAATTCAATGTTAATAATCCTACATGTAGGCACTATGTTAGTTGACATAAATTTGAGAAGGAATACAGTTTGACTAAATTTAAAATAAGCCTAGAAGTAGGGATATCCATCACAGAGATTTCAAATATAACAGGATATATGGTTCCAATAGAATTTAAATGATGTCCACGAAGGTGGTTTCTGTCTTTGTAAGTAATCTCTGAGTTGTCAATGACTTCTATTTGATGAAGTTTAATACACTAATAATAATGTAAATAGAGAAAAAAAAATACCAGCACAGATTCTCCTTCTTCAGGATTTGGGCATTTAACGGTAGAAAAGTCTGGATCAGGATCTTTTTGTTCTGGTACTGGAATTGGAGGCTTAAAACCAAATACTTGGAAAGCCAACTGCACATAGTCGTGTCCAACCCCATGGAAAGATGTATGTACAAATTTCAAGGTGGTCTTTGAGTTTAATTCCCTGTAAAGGAAAAGAATTATTCAATCGATATCATAAAACTTGGTGCTTGTGATATAATTAAAATAAGCTATAGAGAAGAAGCTAAAATTTATTTTTTAGGATGAAGAACAGATACTCAGCAAGCCAACGGCTTTCTAGCAATAGCGTTAGCTATTTATGGAACAGTTATGAAAATATGGAAATAAGGCAAAATCAAATTTTAGAGGAAATTTCCTAATCTCATATAGAGAATACATATATTTAGCTATAATCTTTTAACAGCTTTATTAAGAAGTACTTAATATACTCTACAATTCATCTATTTAAAGTGTACAGCTCAGTGGCTTTCACTATATTCATGGAGTTATTCAACCATTATACTATAATCAATTTTAGAACATTCTCATTATCCCCAAAAGAAACTCTACCCCAGAGCTGCCACCCCCTAACACTCCCATTCCTCCTAGCCATAGGCAATCACTAGCCTCTGTCTGTTTCTGTCTCTGTAGATTTGCCTTCTCTGGACATTTTATATAAATGGAATCATACAATATGTGGTCCTTTGTAACTGGCTTCTTTCACTTAGCATGTTTCCAAAGTTTATCCATGTTGTGGTATGTATCAGTATTTCTTTTTACAGCTGAATAATATTTCATTGTATAGATATACCACAGTTTATTTATCCATTCATCAGTTGATGGATATTTGGGTTATTTCCACCTTTTAACTATGGTGATTGGTACTATTTAGCTATACTTTTAATATAATGAACAGACAACACATTTTTATCTCTATTTCTTTATTTGTTAATCTTATTATATGGTAATGCTATCCCTACATTCCCATTTGGATACCTGTGAAAACAGATCTTTTTAAGATCTTCCATGTATCTTCTGCAAATGTCCTGCAGAGGATCTCTCTTCAGTGGGCTGGTATCCACTAAATTATCATTCCAGGAACCATTCCAAGGTTCCACACATTCTTCGATACATTTCAGAATTTCTTTATCATGAGGAGATGTGATCTGAGCACCAGTTTCCCAATAAACCTAGGTGAGAGGTAAATACAGCTATAAGTACGTGAAATGTTGCCCAGATATTTTTAGCTACAGTAGAGATATTTGGCTTTAAAAAGAAGCATCCCAAATTAATTAAGTAGAAAATATCAATATGGGACCAACTTAATACCAAAGGATGTTGATGATAATGATGCTACAGGTACTCTTCAATAAAATGATCATGTATTGGGGAGAAAAGATGGCAGAGGAGAAGGGGACCCTATTCCAACTGGTCCCCGGAATTGAGCTGGATATCTACCAGACCACTCTGAGCACCCACGAAATCAGCCTGAGATGTAAGAAGATCTGGATCTCTACAAACAGAATATTGCAGGCAGTTGGTTTCGAGGTACCAAGTGGGTAGCCGTGGTTCCGCGGGCAGATATCGGAGGATAAATGGCAGCGGGAGGGAGCCTGGCCGTGGGGATCCTACACCGCTGGTGCACGATAGCCTCCCGCGCTGGGAACGGGCACAGACTCGCAGACCGATAGCAGCGGGGAAAGGACTTTAGGGCAGACCCCGGGAGGGAAACCGGAGCGGCAGGGTCACGCCTGTGAACTGGGAGCAGCTGGCGGTTTTAGAAGCACAAAAGGCAGAGATGTGCCCTGACCTGGAGGCAGGACTGGGGTGCTGCAGAGGGGCGCACAACCCAGGACGCTGCAGTTTATAGCAGCACAGACAGAACGGAGATAGTGTGGCCTGGAGAGCTCACTGAAGAACAGACTGCGATCTCTCTGCTCTGAGGCAGAGGGTTGGAAATGGTCTCTTCTGCTCTGACTTGCGGAAGAGACGCAGAAAGCCACCAGGGAAAGCCGCCAGAAAACAAAAGCCCCCAAAACTGGTTACCACTGAGCCCATCCCCCGCCACAGGGGGGCAGGGCAACTCTGCCCAAATAGGGTTGCCTGAATAACAGCATGGCAGGCCCTTCCCCCAGAAGACAGGCTGGGAGAACAAGAGGCCAGCAGCCCTAAGGTCCCTAGAAAACAGGTGCATCTTGCTTGGGTTCTGGTCAATAATTTGGACTCTATACATTCCTTTAACCACCCATCAACAGAATGACTAGGAGGAGGAACCCCCAAAACAGGAAAGACTCAGAGATTATGACTTATGCTGCAGATTTACAAATGGATGCAGATATAACCAAGATATCGGAGACGGAATTCAGGCTAGCAATTGTGAAGACAATAGCTAGAATGAAGAAATCAATTAATGGCAACATAGGGTCTCTAAGGGCAGAAATGAAAGCTG